AATGCTTAATAATATATGAGTTATAATATTGTATAATATCATAATATAATATTATATTTAATTATTATAATTAATTTATGAACAGGAAAATTAAATTTCAGCTTTCAGAAGTAATTTCAGTTTCAGACGCATTATATTTTATGTAATACAAAATAAATTTATCAGTAAAATTTACTATAGGAACTTGATATAATTTTGGTAAAATATGTTGACCGAACACAATGTCACATAAAATAGATGTCGATCATTTGATCAATAAAATTTTATGATTTTTATGCCTTTTTTTTACTTCGATTTCTAACCAAATCGAACAGTTATTACTTGACTTCTTGAGAAAATTTTTATAAACTTTTAAAAGTGAACGGTTCAGCCAGTTTAAGAAGATCTTGTTGGAAAAATCATCTATTATTTGATATATTTATTATATGAATAATCGAAACTTTTTAAAATTCCTTTTTTTATGTCTATTTAATACTTTTCAACTATTTTTATTTAATTTTAAACAAAAAATTACATTATTTTTGGAATAAAAACACATTTTAAGTACAAATATAAAATTTTTTAAAATATTATTAACAAATAAATTTGCAATTATTCAACTAATTATTTAGTTTTAAAACCCTTAAAAATATATTTAGAAATATTATTTGATTATTTCCTACAATAAATATATAAATTTATTATTCTTTATATTAAAAATTTGAGAAATTTTAACATAATTCAAGAATAACCTAAAATTTACGTGAATATTTACCTTTTCCATCTTAATAAAACTTGCTTCTTTTGCTAAATTTTAACATATATTATTCGTTAAATGTTATCCAATAAACATTTTTAAATTAAAAAATCAATTTTTTTTAATTTTTTTACTAAAAAATAAATTTTTTTTATTTTTAACTTAAAAATCAATTTTTGCATTTTATACAAAAACTATTTGAATTATTACTTTTAAAACTTATCTAAGAAATTATTTTTGCTTCATTTGCTAAATTATAACATATATTATTAGTTAAATGTTATCTAATAAACATTTTTAAATTAAAAAATCAATTTTTTTTAATTTTTTTACTAAAAAATAATTTTTTTTTTATTTTTAACTTGAAAATCAATTTTTGCATTTTATACAAAACTATTTGAATTATTACTTTTACAACTTATCTTAGAAATTATTTTTCCTTATGTAAAATTATATTTATTTTCACTGTCAAAATCATACTTTCTTTTCAACTTTTAAAATCTTAAAAAAAGTAGCTTTTTAGAATGAAACTTCTTGTAATTTAATTGCAAAAAAAAAAAAAAATTTTAAAAGCGGTTAATTATTAAAATAAATGAATAGATTTTATAACATTCATTTATCAAATTTGTATAAGCAGTATATGTTAAAAAGTTTAATAGTTAACTAAGAGGCAAATTTTTTAATTACTATTACACAGACATATTTAATTATAAAATTGATCTTATGTCTGACTACTAATAAAAGTATAATAAGAAAAAAAAATAATTAAAATTTATCAATATTTATTTACATTAAAAATTTAAATTTTACACATTGTAAATTTCCTTTACAACAATTAATATAATTTGAATGTATAATAGATTTTATAATCTACATATGTATAAAATTTCTGAATTTCTATTTTGAGTATTTGTATAACATGAATTTTTCTAAATAATAATTTGATTGTCATTAAACTTATCAAAATTATAATTCTGGCCTGAATTATAAATTTATAAAATTTATAACAGTTATAAGTAAAGATGATACTATAATTACTGTAATTAAGAAGTTGTCACTTGATAAATTACAACTTGAAATTGTAACTAGTTGCAACTCCTTGTAAAATTTAAAAATTCATAAATAGTTGCAACTAAAGTTACAACTATTTGAAAATTTTAATTTCATTTTCAGTCATAAGTCATAAAACCTTTTCAAATGATAAATGATATATAATAAGTTATATAAATCATAAACACCATATGATATTATTTTCTATACTAGTTTTAATTAGTATTTAACATTTCAGCTTAATAGTATTGGATCTTATTTTAAAGGATTCTTCAAATAGAGTTAAATTTTGAATTAATTCATTTTAAATATTATAAAGTAGTATAGTTTAATAATATATAGATAGTATTAGATAGCTACTGAGAAAAATTTTTGTTATTCTAGACTACATTTATTTCATTCAAATTTTTGCTATTCTAGAAATTACAGATCTACCTTGTCTTCTCAATAATACTTTCTTTTATATATTAGTTATATATTCCTTTCATATATATTATTTCAGTATTTATAAAGTTTTAAATATTTTGCACTTTAATTATTTTAATCATTATAAAAATTAATAAATCATTAACAAAGAAAATTAATATTGTAATTTACTTTTCACAAAAATTGACTTTTATTTAATTTGTATTTTAAATGTTAATCATTCTATATTTAGCGATTTAGCTATTACTAATATGATAATTTTTTGGTAATAATTAGTAAAAATTAACTAACTTTTATCTAACAGTTAAAATTTAAAAATTTGATGATTTGGATTATAGGATTAATCAAAAATTATAGGTAACTTAGCTTAAATATAAGTCAAAGAATACTCTAAAGTTATTTATAATGGTTAGGCTGATATTTTAGCAATTTAATTTTACTTCAATTTTAATGTTTTTATAGAATTCTCATCATATATTTTGAAAATATCTAAATAACAAATATTTTTTAATTTAATAAGCTATAATAATATGAAAATTAAGCAATTTTTAATTTTTATATTATAATATAAACAATTAATTTATTTGAAATATTTTTAATGGTGTTTAATTGATAATATACTTATTATATTTTTAATAATACTTTAAATTTATTAATTTATTATTTAAAATATTAGAATATAATTATATTTATTAATTATATCAAACTATTAAATATATTATTACTATTTAATAAAGTTAATTATTTTAGTTAATTAAGATACTTTTTATTATTTCAACTAAATTATTAATTATTTATTATTTTTTAAATTCAAATAAGTATAATTTAATAAAATTAACTTACTATTTATTGTATTTTTAATTACAAATATTAACGTTAATATGATATTTGGTAAGTTATTTTTATGTAATCTTAATAATTAATTATACTTTTTAATATAATTTAAACTCAAATAAATTTTTATTTATAAAATAAATTAATAATTAATAAATTAATAATAATAAATATTATATATTTTACTGTAATTTAAACAACTAAATATTTTATTTAAAAAATATTAATATTTTTTATTTTTATTGATTAACAGTATTTAATTATTATATTTTACTATATTTTAATACAACTACTAAATTTTTTATTTAAAAACAAAATTATTACTAAAAGTCGTAAGTTATTTTTATTGATTATCAATCGATATTTAATTATATCAACTAAATTTTTTATTTTAAAAAGACTAATAAATAATATTAATGTAGTTGCAAAGTTATTTTATTATTATTGTGTTCAATTATACATTTTACTGTCATTTAAATTTGACTAAATTTTTTATTTAAAAATTAATTAATATTTTACTTTATACTGCAATTTAAACTCTGCTAAATTTTTTATTTAAAAATAATCAATAATAAATTATTTAAATCATTTTTTATCAATTATAATATTTAATTATGCTTTAAGTATATATAAATTAATTTTAATATTTAAAAATCTGATCAAATTGTAATAAAAAAAATATTGGATATAATAGTGTAAAAAATGTAATTCTATATTATATCAAGTCAAAATAAAATTTATTGATAAATTCATTCAATATATTCAACCAAATGTTTAAAAATAAAAGGCAAATATTAGGATGAATTCCTTATCAATTTCTTCCGACGAATATTTGGATAACTTTACTAGCTAAAAACGCATATTGATAACAAAAGTGTTCAATACTATATTTTCAAACAGCTGCCTTATTTCTACTATTTATTTTTTCTTCCGAAACAACAAAATACTCACTTAAAGAATGTTTAGGCTTGGCACCGGTATGAGATATTATTCACATTTTAAATTTTCGGAAAAAAAAATTTATGGTTTTTAATAATAAAAATAACAATTAGCTGCAAATGTATGTATGCTGCGCCATACGGGTTATTTTTGGTCATAAGTTTATTTAACGTAACCTTCATTGTTACATGTGATTGCTTTCCTCAAAAAAAGTTTCCGGAACCAAAAGGAAGCAAATTGTAAGAGTGAATTTGGTAACGAATTGAAAATTAAATAAAAAATTCAGCTAGAATTTCTATAGTAAATTCACCTATGAATGTCTTCCATAATTTAAATTTTAGACAAATTGAAACTCATTGGAGAGGGAAATCAACATTTCGATAAACTATTTTATTGATTTTAAAATCATCGGCCGGAAATCCGGAACCGGGTCAAACCGATTTAATGCGGGTGATCCGGGTCCCTAATCATTAATGAACAATGTTCATTGGTCATTCGGGATTAAGACTTGACCTTTCGGGATTGATCTTGAATGGCACCTGTATTTATTTATTATAAATTATCACTTCCTAATTTCGTATGGGAGGTAATTTAGAATTATTGCTAACACCTTACAATTCTTACAATTCGAACAAATGTAGATCAATTTATCAAGGAATAGATAAATTATTTATTTAATTACAAATCAAAACAAATTCCATTATGGAAGTTTTATGTATTAGAAACCGAAACATATTCCTAGTCATTTAATTGGTATATATTAGTGTTTTTTATTAATAACCTCTTTTTCAGATCAGGAAACATCATAATTCTAATCAATTGATTTGTTCGTTTGTTGATCGATTTCTCTTGGCGCGTTAGATAAAACATTAGGTGTCGAAGCAATTTATCCTGAAACCGAACCCTTAAATTTCTGACATGTATATATATACACTGTATAATACATCTTGGATAGAAAACAAAGAAGTTACAAATCATACTCCACAAGTTTAAAAACAAAACATCCACACCAGCCATGAAATACACTTATTCTACTTTCATCATTGTTGTAATCTCAGCAATGATACTTGGCTTAACTTGGATTGAAGGTATTACATTTATTTAAATCAATGTTCATCTTTATCTTCACCAAATTTAACGTATTGTGTACGTATGACTTGCTACATTTACAAAACTGACTTTTACTTCTTGTAATTTCTCATTATATAGCCGATGCCGATTGTTCGATAGGTGAAGGAAAACGTGATTGTCATTCGGGATCCTCATGTAGCTCCAATAACGATTGTATATTTAAGCTTTGCGAAAATTTTGTCTGTATGCGAAGGTTGTCTAGCGGCTGCAAAGTGGGAGGAAAGAAGAAAAATTGTAGATTGGGTGAACCATGTGTATCTAGTGATGATTGCCAAGCGCCTGGTTGTGCAGAAAATGATAGTGGAAATACTGTTTGCGTCTAAACATAAAAAACTTGAATATTTAATTTACTGAATGAATGTATTTTAACTTTCCAATATTCATATAATATGGTCTTTATGAGGATTCACTTTCTTTTTTTGCAGATCAATGAATTTAATATTGATAAAGTGACAGTTGTGTTGGCAAAATTATACTTGAAACAAACCTTTAGCCAGAAAATACCGAAGTACTGTACATTGCATAGTAAAATTAGCGGAATCTTCATCAAATTACCTTGCTATATATTTTCGGCGTATAAATGTTAAAATTATATAATTTTACGATTACATAAATCAATATTGATAAAAAAATTTAATAAAATTCATCGATAACATTCCCTTTAAAATATTTTTTTAATTTCTGACTTCTATTTCCTAAATATCATTATCCAATTTTATTTAATAATTCTAATGGTTAATAACGATAAGTTTTGCAGACAAAAATTTCTTATTTGTTATTTGTTTAAAATTTTATGAGTCATTTGATATTTAGACAAATTATTCAATGACGGTAAATCAATCTTCCTAATAGAATAATCTTCCAACATTCGGTTTATTGATATTATTAATAGATTCTATTTTTATTCGATTTCTATTAATTCGATTTTTGTAGAACGATTCGTATACTTTTTTTTTAACATAAATTTTGATTTTTTATAAATATATGAAAATTTTTATACATTGATCTACAGCCCAATTTGATTTAAATTCCTTTTAATCTTTATATCTACCATAATTTTTGATTTATTAATAAAAAAAGAATCAAAAGAATTTTCCCATTAGCCAACAGTCAGTCTCGATAATTCGGATCGCGTATGATTAAAAAAAAACCGATATATCAAAAATTGCTATCTGAAAGTTGGCGAGATCACACGTGAGTTTCATGTGATTTTAAATAAATTATTTAAAAAAGTACCACCATCACCGAAAGATAAAAATTGGAAAGCAGATGTTTCAAAACATTTGTTGCATTAATGTCCGAGATGATTATTTCAGATACCTGGACTGTCCTAAATGACTATTTCAGACCATCATTTCGGATTAATAACCACTTCGAACCGTCTAAAGTGACCACAGACACATAGTAAATTAGGATATTTATAATCACATGATATATTTTAAAACGGAATGTCTGCTTAGGAAGTCTGATATTTGTCGTTCGGATCATACAAAAAGTCATTTTGGATATTTAAATTTGAGGAAAGCGCATACCACAAACGATCTTCGCATTTTGGTTACCCATTTGCGTATTCCGAATGACATTAACGCATCGGGTTACAACAACAGTTCCATTAAATATCAAGTAAATCTAATATATATCGATATTGATTAAATTTAATGCATGATTTAGTTCAAAGAAATAAATGCCTATAAAAAAAAAACTTTATTATACGAGACAATAGTGCGATTTCGATTTATCAGAGGTCCCGAATATCGAGCCTGTGTGTGATTTTTTTACTCTTTGGGTTAGATTCATTACTTTTTTTTTTCTTATTTAGTTTGGCTTGTATCGGAAACAAGCATGGTATGTTTTTTTTTACTATAATTTATATTGTATTATAGAGAAAGAATGTTATTTTTTTTTTAGCTTTTGTGAGATATTTTTAAAAAAGAAAAAAGAAATTTGTAATAATGCGTTATATTGAATTCGTTAATGTGAGCAATAAACTTTTTTTTATTGCATGACGTAACGAATACGAATCCACCATCTTTTTTCTTTTACACAATTTGCATGCCACTTTATTTTAATGCAAAATTATCGTTATTTATTTTAAAGGGATTTTAGCCAGATATTGTGCATAATAATAACAAGGAGTGAAGGTTTTCGAAAGTAAATCACGAAAATAAAATGAGTGAGTAAACGTTTGTTGTGTGTTGTGATACAACAATCTATGTGATGCAATTCTCCTAATTCAAACCAATGGGTTTTTTATCTTCCCCAAAATAAAATGGTTATTTATAGGTGAAATGACAATCCAAATCGAAAAAAATAGAAGTTGCTCACCGATCAAAATGGTGATGAATTTTTTTTTTTACATCTCATACTTAACAGTTAATGCGTTAATTATAGCGTCGTATGGCGAATAAATACCAAAATGTGATGATGAAAATTACCTAGATAATCGTTAATAATTCCACACTAAGTTTCAAGAGCTAAAACCTTGATTATTATATTATTTTGTGAAGAAGTCGGTGATTTTCAACTCCAACTTTAGAAAAATAAAATTTCAATTATGTATTAACGGTCTTTGTTTTACCTGTTAAGATTCATCCGGGTATATATTAATTCCTATAAAAATAAATATAGGAATAAATATCTTCGAAAGATTGATCGAACTCTTGAATGACAAACAGTATGATATTTTTTTTTTAAGAAAAAAAATAAATATACTATCAAATTTTGGAGGATCTGCATGACCGGTGTCAACGCAACAACTGTGGTACATATCAAATATAGCAGACATATCAAATATTTTTTACATATCTTATTTATTTTATTTATCTGTTTTATTTATTATATTTGTTTTATTTATTATTTCTATTACTGTATATTAGTTTATTTGTTAAATTAATTATGTCTGCTAGTAAATTGAAACAACGATGTATAAATAGATCGGGAATTCAATCTAGAGTAAAACAGAGAAAATAACAAGTCGTAAAAGTTTCTCTCAAAGATTTAATTAGACTATTCTAGTTCGTGATGATAAGTCTAAAGAAAAGGCTTGTCGAATTCCTAATTAATAAAGTTGTTTATTTTACCCTTTCAATCTTCTTCGTGTCTCATAGAAGTTTTGATGCGATAACTAACTACACAAGCGAATCGTAATAATTACTACATAAATTATACATCGGACGAACTAAATAAGAAGTAAATAAGTGTTTGTTGACAAGAAAAAGCAAGGAAAATCTGGTCAACACCGGTGTGTTGTGTATGGTATGGTGTCCACAAATAATTAGATCGTTTGACTGATGAAGTTAGAATTCGGATGCTTTCGGTGGCTGAGAAGTTATTATCTAAATTAAATCTTCAACATATAAAAATCTTTTTAACAATTCATAATTTTGCCAATTTTTTTTTTTACGATTTAGTAACCAGCCTTATTTATGTTAAAATATCTTTCTTTCTTGAAATTAAACGATATATGCTATTTCTTCGGTAAAATTTTAATTACTTGTAATAAAGATTTTAATTTTTTTACAACTTGAAAAAATTTTTTATTTTCAAATATAATTAAAAAATGGTTGGACTAAAAATTTTAAATTTGAAATATTTTTAAGAAATTATGAAATTCTGAATAATATCTTTAATTACTTGTTGGAATATAAAGATACAAAACATTAAGAATTTATTCATGGTCAATTTTATCGATAAAAATACAAAAAAAAATCTTTTAAAAGGTTTTTAAAAGCGAGTAAAAATGGTGATATATTTGGGAAATATGAAGTCAGACAAGAACATTATGAAGGTAATTGAAACAAACAAAATTTTATAAAAGTAGAAAAAATACTTTCAACAAGTTGCTGCTAGATCTTATTTAAATATAGTTCTCTATATGATATGATATCTAGTGCTCAGAGCCAGTCGAATCGACCCGGGTCATTTGACCCGACTCGAAAAAATTCGAGTCGGGACTATCATTTTATGTCACGAGTCCTAATTTCTTAAAACCCGTCTCGATATTGCTTGATCCGGGTGGGGTGACCCGAATGATCAGGTGATGCTATATAAGTATATGTGATAAGCAATTTTTTGAGTGAAACTATCGACCTTATTAATTCCGATAATACAGCTTCTCGGAAATCGAAAATAATTGCGAAGCGAACTTTTTGCCAAAGAGCTTTTGAAGAGAAACTTCTTCCACCTGAATATAAAATTCATAAATACATCAATTCAAAAACACATCGAGAAGTTAGATGTCTTAACTGCTCGTATCTTTTTTAAATAGAGTATAATTTGGTATATTTTAGGTTGATATTTTTTTTTCAAAAATATTAGTGGACATAAAACGTGGCTCCGCAATATTGGTGATTCAAATTTCAAATAGAAAAAAATTATGTCGTTATTTAGAGCGCAATCATCAAAATAGAAAAAAAATTATTTTAATAAAACCTGTTGAATCATTTTAGCGCATGAATTCCTGGAGCCAATAATATGTTTAAAAAATCTATATTTGAATTAATGTACAACCAAAAAACTTTAAAAATAAAAAACTTTCAAATTTAATACACACATTTTTCATTATATACATAAATAAAAAATTTTTTTTACTTTCGGAATTAATATTACTGTAAAATTCGAGTCGAATACGAGTTTAACAATAATCGGATCGGGTCGGACAATAATCGGGTCGAGTTTCCTTCAAACCCGACCCTTACGGAGCACTAATGATATCATTTAAATTATATAAAAAATTTGCTAGAAATGGATTTATCCATCCCAATGTAGTATATCTTTATTATGGTGGGAAACTAGAATTATTAATCAAAAAGCTTTATAATAAGTCAAAAGATTAAACTATTAAATTTTATTTCTGAATTGATAAATTTATATTCGATTATATATAATTTATATGTTTTTGATAATATGAAGACTTAACTTTTTCGATCTTTTAATAGGAAATAAACATTATAGTAAATGTAAAAGAATGATAAAATTATTTAAATCAAAAAATGTACGGCGCAGTTTATATTCTATTTCGTGTTGAAAAAATTAGAATAGAAAGAAAATTACTTACAAGAGAAGCTTATCTAAAATTTGGATTATTGAAATGTACTGTAAATATCTATTACTTAAATGCATGTTTTTATTTTATAACAGAAATTAGCTTTTAACGTAATGTAAAGAAGCATTCCTTTAAAATTTTGATAAAATTTATGAAATATATTATTATTGCAATTGCAATTAATTGAAACGTATTTTGCTTAATTAGCTGAACTGAATTTTATGCATATTATAAAAAAGTTCATGTTAATTTTTATCATCAATTATTGGATGATAATAT